CAAACATATGGAAGAAATCGTTTTTCTTTTTTCAAGAGATTAGAAAACAAAATCTCAATTATAATTTAATTGTTGTCTATTTGATGGGGACATTCTTGAGAGAATCTGCAGTGAGCTTTCCCTTGGAGGGAGTGAGTAGCAGATTGCCGTTCCATGAAGCTTCCCCATTCGAATTAACGACGAGATCCACTGAAAGTTTCTCCCAAACTTTCTTTTTGGGATTTAAAACGTCGTCAGGAGCTCCATTCTCGTAATTTTCTATTAGCACTCGATCTCCTGCAGATGCATCGGGTGGGGGACGAATGGGCTCTACCTTTCGTTCCTCCCCATCTCTATAAAAAAAATGTCTTTTCAATTTTATGGATATAAAGTCTTCTAGCAAATGGGTAAACCTTTAATCCCCATCGCTTGGAAAGTTCATTCTAATTTCCTTCTACCATTGGCAAATATGAAAAACTCTCTTGAATTATTATCTCTTAAATGTTAGTAATGTGGAAAAAAATATGGGAATGGAATAATGTAGGATTCACTAATAGTTCTCATGGATAGAAATATACTCACACTGAGGCACATAGAACCATTCCATGCGAAGCAACACCTCGAAGGTTCGCTGGTTTCAGATTAGCCAGAACCACCACCATCCTGTCTCTCATCTCCTCGATCGGAACAAAATTCACTAGACCACTGACAATTGTTCTTGGTCCACTAGCCTCACCCAGATCAATCTTCTCAACATACAAGGAGTCAGCATCGGGGTGTTTGGACACTTCAACTATTTTCCCAACTCTAATATCAAGCCTCGAAGGCTCAATCTCAGTATTTTGATTTGATGGAGCATTTGGTTTATCTGAAAAAAAATGTGAATCATTCATTGAAGATTTTTTTCATTGAAAAAATCTCTTCAGCTGATATTTACTCGCTTGCTTCTTTTCTTTTTGGGGCGGAGGATAAGCTTTGCTGCTTAAGCTCTTCAGATTGGGATCAGCATCGAACTCCTTTCTGATTGGATCTAAGAGTCGGTTGATGTATACCTCAGCAGCAGCTTTCAAATCCCCAGGGTG